GAATCCCTCTGAAGGAGCTAGATTTAGTGATTTTGGAAAAGGAGGTTTGGGCTGACCTGGTTACCATGACACTCACCAGGAGAAGCAATGTGATGATGATGATGATGATGATGATGATGATGATGACGACTTGTCCTTTGACATGCGTCAACATGAAGGCAACAAAATGCATTCATAAAATTAAACAACCAAGTCATAAAGCACTGAAGTAGCAGGATTTTACTGGCTAATCCGGGACAAACATCGCAGAAGATAAGCTAGTAAACCATAAACTACAAAGCCAAACTGTAAAATACAGGCCTCATGGCCCTAAGACACAAAAGAGACATGAGTCTTGAGCAAGCAACTGTGAAGGTCGAGACCCACATTGTGGCACCTTGACAAGACCGACAGGCTGCCCCGAGGGGCACTGCTGCCTGTAGCCCTGCCTTCACCCGTCTGACACTCAGCCTGTTGGTCACCTGCCTAGAAGGACCGGGGCAGGCTGCACGGTCCCAGGGATGGGACGGGCAGCAGCAGAGACACGCACTCCGCTGTAATAATACACACTAAGGATGCATTACACACTCTCATTTCACATTCGCAAACTTTCGAGGATGGAGAAGTGTCACCAGGTTTGACGCAGTCTGTCACAGGCTGCTGGAGACACAGTAATGACCAGGGAGGAGTGATTTGCAGCTGTTGCTGCACGATCCTTTTGCACCCATTCCCACAGGTTATCCATTACCAATGAACGATTCACGCCCCATCCCAGGCAGCACGGGGGGGGGTACCGCACATGGAGAGTCAGTACCTCCTGTTTGCTCCCTAGCAAACTAGATTTGTAGCATTTTTCATTACTCGCGATGCTGGACTGTCTGATTTTTGCAGCAATGTTCATTTTCAGCCGTGAGGTCTGTGTGCACACATCGATCATGTATTCATACCGGCGGTTGAGCGTATCTTTGGAGAGGCGGAGGAGAGCCGCAGAGAGCGCAGAAGAGAGCTCGTTTTGTAACACATGAATAATGAGGTCCGATTGGTGTAGGCGGGACGCGAATTCTCAGCACACTCTCTGCCTCTCATACGGCAACCGTGTGCTGGGCCATGGCGTATGCTCTGGGCGAGTGAGCGAGCACTAGTGAAGAGGCACTGATGTGTAAGGGGATGGGTGTACACGCTGCGTGCAGATATCCATACAGCAGTCAACACAGGCACCTACCAGCAGGACACACGCACCAACGAGCAGGACACGGGGATGTAAGAGCAGGACACAGACACGTACGAGGAGGACATGGGGATGTAGGAGCAGGACACAGGCATGTACGAGTAGGATACGGGGATGTAAGAGCAGGACACAGGCATGTAAGAGTAGTACACATTCATGTACGAGCAGGACACAGGCACTGTCAAATATTCTGACTTTGAAAAGATCTTCCTGTTTTCCAGGAGGATGATGCTGGAGATGATCTGTCATTGATAAGTAAATGTGTTTGAGCTTCTGAGTGATGGGAGAAGCTTTTCATTTCAACAGGAGTCAGAAGGAGTACCACAGATGACCCTCTCACCATATGCCCTAAATGGCTGTAATTATTCAGCATCATTCCCCCGGCTGCTGTGCTACTGTGAAAACAAAAAACTGCCGCAGTCCTTGTATGGTTTCCACTTCCTGGGGGAATTTTTAGACATTTTTTTTTCTGTAAAATGGAGGCATGAGATTTTGGGCTTGGCTACGTGAAAACAGAAACGTCCTGCATAACCCGGTGACATTGGAGTGGACTCTGGTACCGTAAACAGATGTTGAGCAGCATGAAAGCTGGAGGCCCGTGATTAGGGAACAGCCAATGGTGTCGGCCACAGCTGAGAGGTTGTGTACACCGTGAACCTACCCCCCCCCCCCCACACACACACACACACACACCACCACCACCTGCATAGCATTAACACAGCTAAAAGTAATGTAGGAGCAGGTATGAAGCAATGTAAATACTACACTAAACTCTAAGAGCCTCTGGTGATGACACATCAAGCAGGCAAAAAAGATGTAATGTTGGTCTACTATTATGTCTGTCAACATGTGTTAGCTTACCCATTACAAAACCTCTAAAATCACCCCATTATTTGTAGCGACCATACAATCCACACGTGTATTTTTTGACTCAACCACTAGCGCGCCTCCTATAGCGAATCAATGGCCCTGTTCACACCTGGTATTAACCTGCCTCCTTGGTGATTCGTTTAAAAGTGGACAGCGCTATAATTACAGGTGTGAACGCACGGAATATTCATTTTAATATTTATTTTATTAATATTGGTGAACCGTGCCGGTAAAAATTACATTATGGTAAAATTGAAGTAGGAAACAATGTTCGTTCAGTAGCCTAGAAAATGGTTTGTAAATGGTAACATTGTAATATTATAACGGTTTATATAGTTTTATATTGAACTTTCAGGGGCTTGAACTCCTGGTCGGAAATTCAGTCCCACACCAGTGATACAATGAACCTCTTTGTTGAAATTATCAAAACTTTTGAGCATCATTGGTTATGATTAAAAGTCAAAATATTATCATATGGCAAACAACATAATACATTACAGACCCTTTGCCCTTGAATAGAAAACCACACTACATTGCCAAAAGTATTGGGACACCTGCCTTTACACACATGTGAACTTTAATGACATCCCATTCTTAACACATAGGCTTTAATATGGAGTTGGCCCATCCTTTGCAGCTAGAACAGCTTCAGCTCTTCTGGGAAGGCTGTCCACAAGGTTTAAGAGTGTGTTTATGAGCCTTGCTTTGTGCACTGGTGTGCAGTCATGTTGGAACAGGAAGGGGCCATCCCCAAACTGTTCCCACAAAGTTGGGAGCATGAAATTGTCCAAAATGGCTTTGAATGCTGCAGCATTAACAGTTCCTTTAACTGGACCTAAGGGCCAACATTACACGTGGCACAATGCAGTCAGGCAAGTACCGTTCTCCTGGCGACCACCAAACCCAGACTCATCCATCGGATTGCCAGACAGAGGAGCGTGATTCACTCCAGAAAATACATATCCACTGCTCTAGAGTCCAGTGGTGGCGTGCTTTACAACACTGCATCCAAGGCTTTGCATTGCACCTGAATTCAATGATTTGCAGGGGTGTCCCAATACTTTTTCCAATATGGTGTATATCTTAGTATTGAAGGGGCGACATGGTGGTGCAGTGGTTAGCACTCACACCTCTGGGACCCGGGTTCGAGTCTCCGCCTGGGTTACATGTGTGTGGAGTTTGCATGTTCTCCCCGTGTCGTCGTGGGGTTTCCTCCGGGTACTCTGGTTTCCCCCCATGGTCCAAAGACATGCTGAGGCTAATTGGAGTTACTGAATTGCCCATAGGTGTGCATGTGTGAGTGAATGGTGTGTGAGTGTGCCCTGCGATAGGCTGGCCCCCTGTCCAGGGTTGTTCCCTGCCTCGTGCCCGTTGCTTCCGGGATAGGCTCCGGACCCCCCACGACCCAATAGGATAAAGCGGGTTGGAAAATGAGTGAATGAATGAATCTTAGTATTGAAAGACGTTTTTAACAGGTACATTTGTAGTATGTTAACACGGTATAAAAATGCATGTCTACTACGTGAAAAGTTGAACTATATTGTTTAATATAGTTTTTTGTAAGTAATCACATTTGCATTTTTTGAAATGATATTTTGTAATAATGACTGTCTAATGAAAATCACACCATTGTAGGAAATACAAGTTAAAAATTATACGTAGAAGGCAAACATGAAATATCTTTTGTGGAATTATTAAAAAATAAAATACATTAACTATTGAAATATTTGTTTATTGATTTATCTATTTATAGATACTATACATTTATTTCATTTTGAGTATTATGGCGTTCGATACAAGTATTGTAAGCGTTTTGGTTACCCTGAAATGCGCAAATAGCTTTTGATTTCTTCTTATATTTCTTTTAATGTTCGTCAGATTCTGCATACGGAAGTGATTTACATGCTTATTTAAAGAAAGTGCGGGAAAGTGAGATAAGATTATAAGCGGTCAGTCGAGACGCATGCACAGACGCATGTTAATGCCAGGTGTGAACACGGCCAATATCTCTTTGACTTTTTAAATTAATTAATTATTAAGTTAATTACGTGAGCTGGTGGTGAAATTTAATTAACACATGGAACGGCTGGGGTTTGGCCATCCATTTAGATATCAACAATTTTTAGAGAATAGAAGACATTTTTACAATTTTTATTGTGTCACTTATTGTATCAGAACATATTTTTCATATATTCCAATGTTAAATTGCGTTTTTTGTTCTGAGCAGATGTGCACTTATTACCCAGATAAATAGCTTTAAGCATTTCTTTTGACTGCCTGCCACTTTTGCACAATATTTTATGTTAACCTACAGAGTTACTTTCTCTAGTATTGACGGCTGATTTTATTTGCGGGCTTTATTTGCGTATGCAGTGTCAGTCCCCGCAGTGCTGGTAGCCGCAGCTTTAGTGTCCCCGCAGTGTCATTTCGTGCGGTATTACCGTCTTTACTGTCAGTGCCTGGCTTTATTTACACCTGTAGCATCAGTCCCTGCAGTGTTGCTGTCTGCAGTGGCTGCAATACCAGTGTCTGTAGTGTCAGTACCTACTTTGGTGGGAACTTGCAGTATTAGTGTCAGCATTGTCTACGGTATCAGTGTGCACGCGCTCCTATACTCCATTATTGCCGCACACCGCTGCTCACCCACAGTCTTGTCTCAGCTCCAGAAACTGCAGCCTTTTTCTCTCTGTCTTAGATGTTCCTGAACTGTTATATGTTACACACGTTTAAACCCAAACCAGCATAACTCCTTGGTGAATATTCTGAGTAAAAGGCCCGTGTGTGTACAGAACACTAGTGCATGCCGTCGCATGTGTTTATTTAATGTATTTAGATAGAATAACGCGTCACACATCCTGTTTCACAAACTCCTGTTTTGTATACGAGAAAGGAGAATCGGCAGAGAGAGAGAGAGAGAGAGAGAGAGAGCAAATGGCCGCCATGCGAACGGTGAAGTAGTATCCCACACAGAGCTTCCCTCAGCACACCACAAGTGGTCAGCTGGAGGCGAAATGATGCGCAGGGTGGCAGGGTGCCACCGTACCGCGGGCTGTCGGCGCCGGACACTGGCATAGGGGGCAGCCCCCCTCCCTGGAACTCTGCGGGAAGCAGGTGCGACGGTGCTGGTGCTGGTACTGCTGGAGGTGGAGAGATTAGCGGACCTCGGTGGCTCCTGGTCCCCCTCCAGCGCTCCCATGCTACTGTAGGACCGATCCTAGCACGAGTGGACTTTAACTCGCCTTTTGTGCTTGAAGACAGAGAAACGCGGGACAGTTTTACACGTGTGCCGCGGACATGACTGCGCGGATCGAGTCGCGATGATAATTATGACTATTATAAGAAAACCGAAATGATATCAAACCCTCGGCTGCGGAAAGGGACCACCAGGCACGCCTGCGTTTCATCCGAAACACTATATCTGAGTCTCCTCGTCTTGGGTATCACATTTAACCTAAAATACTAGTATCGCTTCATTTGAAAGACGACATTTCTGCGTCTTTTTCATTGTAAATAGTATATTATTTTTCATTTCAGAAACTGCATTTGCAACATTTTATATAAAATGTGATATGTCAGGACTGCTAGTCGCCAGACTGTAGGGCACATCAAATGAAAATTTAAAAATCCAAATAACCAGAGAGATAATAGCACGGCTATACGCTATAGGAGGCGCGATCTGAAGGGGGGAGGATACTTCTCGGATAGGAGTTTAAATACTCTGCAGTAGAAACTGCTGCGGAAGCGTCTTCTGTTGGCAAATGACGGCGCTGAAAAGCTGCATTTTTTACATCTCGAAAAGGGATAAGACCAGAGAAGACCGCCTTGTTTTAGTAGAAGGGACAGCAGCAATAAGTTAGAGGATAGAATACACTCATCCACATACACACGCAGTGACGGGGGCGCAGAGGAGTTCACGCTGGGAGCGCTGGGACTGGTCGGACTCCGGCGGGTATCCCCATCACAACGGAGCCATTCAACCTAAATGAGACAGCAGCGCATGCACGCTCGGCTCCCGACAATATTGTGCGCGGATGACCGTATCGCCGGGGCTTTCCGACAATTAATGTATGGCTTCACATCCTATCGCGGGGATCCGTGAGAGGAAGAGGAAGGGTAAGTATAAGGGAATACCTGAGGGATCTGCACACGACTGCGTCGGGAGTGTGTGAAGGGTTTGTTTAGGAGTGTGTGAATACCTCGTCATTCCTCTCTGTACCATAGTATCGGGAAGCGTGGCGAAAACCGGTTAGAACAAGTACATCAAGATCAACAGATAGGACTAGTGAAATAAAAGGCTGTGATAAGCTCTTAAGCAGTTTTTTTTTGTATGATAGACACTTTTTTGGTCCATATTTTTGTTTTCTGTATGGTAGTGGATATACCTTTGTTTCAGGACAGGAGTTGAGATAGGGTTGGATATTTCTGTGTTTGCAAAGGCAACTCCTACTGTAAGAAATCCGTCAGCTTGTAGAACTTGGGAAGCCTATTTCCTGAGAGAAAGCCTTACACAACTGACAGACTTACATAATCTTCTCACCTCACACATTAACATAGTGTATTTTTTCCCACCCCACAAAGGCCCTATCAAGCAGAGCCTCACCACCAATATCTACCCAGTATAGATAAACACAGTGTTCCCATTTCAATCTATTTCTTACTACTCATACCGAGGAAGATTCTCCACAGAATATTCTGGAAGCTGGGCTATATTTTTTCCAACATATTTTTTTTCTCCACTGCATTCCAGGTGTCAGCTTTTCAAGCAGGACCAGAGGAGATGCTGGAGGCTCCACAGCTGCTGGGAGATATTATGTGGAGAGGAGGAAAGGGGAGACGAGGGCTGCAGCGCACTTCCCAGTGCCCCCCGGCCGGCGGCCCCTCTCCCGTACCGTGCTCCAGCAGCTGGAGGGGTGACCATGACAGGAGCAGAGCGTCCCTGCCCCCGCCTCCTGCCCCCGCCTCCTGCCGCACGCCTCCCTCTGTCCCGTGCCTGAGGATGCAGTGCTCATAGGCTTCAACACTCTGGCTCTTCCAGCTCTTTCTCCCACTGCAGCTATGAAATGCTTTCTGGGAACTGGGGTTTGTGGTTTTGAGACGCAGTGAAAACACCGCCCCCCCAACCACCACCACCCAAAACTCACCCCCTCCCCCACCCCCCCGTGATGTTTTTGCAGTAACTGTAGTTCAGACGGTAACTTGGACTGATACAAACGTGAAAATACGCTTGGAAACATAACCTGACCGCCAAACTCCCATTAACCTCAGACCAAGGACAAGTTAGGAGGACAGCCAGCTTTTGCTCTTCTCCAGCCTTCGCTGTACGATTCTTCTCCCCCCCACTTCTTAGTGGGGGGGGGGGAAACTAAGGACTCGCCGCCCGGGCAATCCTGGCCCACGGCTGCAGTGACTTGGAGCTGAGGTCCTGACCATGGAAACGGGCCAGGGCAGCCCAGAGAGCCCAAACCGGGCAGTGGAGTACCTGCTGGAACTCAACAACATCATCGAGAGCCAGCAGAAGCTCCTAGAGACACAGAGGCGCCGCATTGAGGAGCTGGAGGTCCAGCTGGACCGCGTCAACCAGGAGAACAAGGACTTGCGGCTGGACCGCCGGCCACGCATGCCCGACGTCTCTGGCTCCGCCCAGCCTGGCTCCGACGCCGCCCTCCCCACCAACTCGCACGGTGACTCCGCCCCGCCTCCGCCCCTGCCTGCGCGGGAGCGGCGTGGCCACGCCCGGCTCACTCGCGGCCTCTCCTGTGGCTCCGCCCCAGTGGAGCGGGGGAGGCCAAACCGACCCGACTGCTCCGGCGCCGGTCATGCCAAGACTCTCCAGAGACAGTGAGTTTCTCCCACGATTCTCTGCATTGGCTGATATAGGTGTTGGCGACTTTAGGATGCACTTTAACCAGCATTTACACCAGTTTCGTCACAGTTGGTAACTGACAGTTTTATCTGTGTGAAATAATCTGGATTGGTCATTAACATGTATTAGCACCAAGGATATTTATGGATAATTGGGCGCAGGAAAACAATGGGGGTTATTTCAGAAGGGGTGGGGGGTGTTGATTAAGTCATGGCTGTGTGTGTTGGTGATGAGATGAAGAGACTGCACAGATGTCATAGATTTACCAAGGTGTCCATCGAAGGGTGGCATTTCAGGAGTATACGATCTGAAAGGGGCACAGCAGGAAGTTTATTTCAGGAGGTTTACATGTATGTGGGAGGCCCTTGCGGTTTGGGTCTGGGAACAAACTGTGTTCTGATTGGTGGATGATGGTGCCCATCTGTTGCTTTCTGTTTACATTGATTTGCCCACGACCTGATTTGTCAACTGGGTGAGAGCGGCTGCTGTTTGTGCATGCGCTTGGAAAGCAGCCAATCACAGATGTACACTGCGCTCAAACTTTGACTGTATGCAAACTATTTTACCGATTACAATCTTACCTGAAAAAAAAACACACTAGGGAGTGTTTGGAAATATTTTAATACTTAAAAAAACAAACTGATTAGGAGATATCTGTGGATGTTTTGGTGTTTATCTTAGAGCTGGGTTTGTGACCTGGATTATGTGGGTTAACTGCAATGTTATTTTGTTTAAAAGCCATGCTAGTCACATGTTCTGGGGGTCTGACTGCAGCTGCATGCTTTCATTGGTTAAACTGTCAGATGGCCTTAGGAGGGAGAGCTGGGTGTGTGTCCTACAGGCATATGCTCAGGCTGACACATAAGGAGCCCCACACTCTTACTAGCTGCCAATTATGTCATTTAAACTGAGCTAATGGTTAGCATGGTGGTCATGCCCCCGTCAGCTGCTGGAATCCTGTGTTCAGCCTCTCTGTTGGGGCTGAACGCAATGAGGGGGTCAGTACCTCAGTGGGGTTTTGATTATGTGGCTGTTCTCCAGATCACTGGGACCTTGCACAAGGGCCCAATGGCAGCATCAGTCTGTCAGCCGTGGAGTTTGAACCAGCAACCTTCTGAGCTGCTGGAGGAGTTGGTGTGTGTGATGTTCTGTGTGTTTGCATATGGATGTGGGTGGTGCCCTTACCCAGGATCAAACAGAGCGTGAGAAGTGTAACAGCAGCGTGAGACTTCCATTGTCAGGCATCTGTCAGCAGTGCATGGAAAACGGTAAGGCTACCCTTATGCTGTGTGGGCTTCATGTGAGAGAGGGAAAGAGAGGGGGGGGAAAGAGGGAAAGAGGGTAAAAGAGAGAGAGAGGAAAGTAAGAGGGAAACACACAGAGCGTATAGAGGGAGGGAAAGAGGAAAATAGATAATAAGGAAACGGGCAATGTGAGATTGAGGGAAAGACAAAGTGAGAGAGAAAGGGAGGGGGGTAGAGGGAGGGGGAAGAGGGAACTAGAGTA